AAAGGGAACGCTATTGAGCAATTGCTTGTAGATAATTTCTTAGTCATGCATGTACTTTGAAAATTCAATTCAAGCCTATTAACTGCAGGGAAGCTATTTTTCTCCCACCTCTCACTCAGCTACAAGCAGTCTAAATCTCTAGCCACCAGAGCCAGTAGTGAGGTTTCTCGGAAGTTGTAGGTAACCAGACACATTTCGCATTTCTACTTCACAGCAAAAAACAGCAGCAGAAAATATATCAGTAAGTCAGGTGTTGCTAAACTGGAAATGAAAGCTGTAATTTCCGTAGGATCACTGGGGCAAGGAACATTCTTTAATGGATGGAGTTTTCACCACTCTATCTTTTCACATTTGCTCCTAAAGTTCTTTCTATCTCTCCCTTTTCAGTTTCATGGAGCAGTATTGGTCCATAAGTTTAATAAAGGAATATTAAAGTATAGAGAAGACATCAGTGTTCTGTCTCTGGAAACCCTTCTAAAACAACAGTTGATTTAATAATAATTCACCAAATTAATGTTGATTTATAATTTATTTAAAGGCAACTACTTATTTTAAAATTAGTAGAAATCTAATACATGCCAAACTTTATTCAATTTACCTATTTAACTGGTTTGATTTGAAATGGCATGTTCATTTCCAATAATTTATTTCTAAAGATTTTCAGATATTTCCAAATTTTCCTCAACTCACATATGTTGAACACCCCCAGATTGCTCATACTATTATTTCTTTAGTCTTACCTCTCATGGTTTTGAGATGTGTGTGTTATGTGTTATTCCTGTTACTGAGACCAACATTTTTGACCACCCAAATGGCCATCTAAACTGAGGAATCTCCACAGGTGCCACCAATGGCATAAAAACCATGGGTGTAACTGGGTGACCAAAGTCACAACCTTTTTTTATGTAGGTGTGATAATATGGCAGAATGTTTCTATAGCCTATTACCAGACCTTGAGTGTTTCGGAACCAATGAGCGGATGAATGCACACACTCATCTCCACTTGTGTGAGCATCAGGCAAGCATATACATTTGTGTGCCATTTGCATGAGTGGCAGGTGCACGTGCCTGCTGCTCACATAAATGGAGCTGCACGTGCATGCACTTGCCCACTACTCATGTGGAACCATCCCCCACCCCAATCCACAATGCCAGAAAAGTTGGGGAACTCAGTTCTATAGTATATGGATAGAGTTTCTATAGCATAAAATTTGTCCACATATATGTGTGTGTATCAATATGTACATAATCACCCTTTTTATTATTTATGTAATTGTTTTCTTGGTATGCTTGTTGGGGGGGAGAGGGGGGAGAGAGAGAGAAATAGAGATAGGTAGGTAAGTAGGTAGGTAGACAGGCAGGCAGGAGAGAGGGAGGGAGGTGTGGGGAAGAGAAGAAATAGGATACTAGCTCAATGATTAACACTATCAGATATCTGTATCTTATCCTGCCTCTAATTTTTCATTTTTATATTACTAGGCAGAATGTTGGCCAACATAGATCATCTAAGTGTGGCTGTGTTATGATTTTATAACTGAGTTTCAATATCTATCATTACTGCTAAAGAAAATAATAACATTTTGATTACTATTTTCCCATATTAATTTACATTAATGTACAACTTTTGTTGTATGCTAAATCTTGCTTCACCTTTCTTCAGGGGCAGGTATATTCTTAATATGTATACTGGTATACTACACAAAGGATTATATATCTAGTTAACAGAATAGTTTTCTCTACATTTAAGGCTCTTAATCTTAATAGTTTTCCAAGACAGGAACAAACCCTGTCAACCCATGGTTTCTCTTATGTTGTGTCCCTTAAAGATTGATACTTTGTGATTGTATGACATCAACCAAATTGAACAGAGATACAGAATATTCCACAATATTCCTCCAATTTAAAAAATGCAGTATTAAGCTAAAACTAAGCTTAACATAGGATAATATTAAATTTCAGAGAAGGATTCCAAAACTATGTCATATGAGAATAACATTCAACCAGTATACATTGAATGCATGTAGACTATGAAACAGAATCACATGATAAGTTCCACTCTGACTTTAGCATATTGAGAACTCTGTGCATGTCTAGTTGTAAATATCTTGGGATATCCAAGATATGTGTTTGGTAGATGGAGCTTATAGTATAGATGAAACTCAAAAAATTAGAACATCGTGCAAAAGTTCATTTTTTTTCAGTAATACAACTTAAAAGGTGAAACTAATATATGAGATAGACTCATTACATGCAAAGCAAGATTGTTCAAGCCGTGATTTGTCATAATTGTGATGATTATGGCTTACAGCTCATGAAAACCCCAAATCCACAATCTCAGAAAATTATAATTTTACATGCAATCAATAAAACAAGGATTGTACATAGAACAATATTGGACCTCTGAAAAGTATAAGCATGCATATGTACTCAGTACTTGGTTTGGGCCCCCTTTGCAGCAATTACTACCTCAACGCGGCGTGGCATGGAAGCTGTCAGCCTGTGGCACTGCTGAGGTGTTATGGAAGACCAGGATGCTTCAATAGCGGCCTTCAGCTCTTCTGCATTGTTCAGTCTCATGTCTGTCATCTTTCTCTTGGCAATGCCCCATACATTCTCTATGGGGTTCAGGTCAGGTGAGTTTGCTGGCCAATCAAGCATAGTAATCCCATGGTCATTGAACCAGGTTTTGGTGCTTTTGACAGTGCTGGAAAATGAAGTCAGCATCCCCATAAAGCTCATCTGCGGAAGGAAGCATGAAGTGCTCCAAAATCTCCTGGTAGACGTCTGTGTTGACCCTGGACTTAATGAAGCACAGTAGACCAACATCAGCAGATGACATGGCTCCCCAAATCAACACAGACTGTGGAAACTTCACACTGGACTTCAAGCATCTTGCAGTGTGTGCCTCTCCATTCTTCCTCCAGACTCTGGGTCCTTGGTTTCCAAATGAGATGCAAAAGTTGCTCTCATCAGAAAAGAGGACTTTGGACCACTGAGCATCAGACCAGTTCTGTTTTTCTTTCGCCCAGGTAAGACGCTTCTGATGTTGTTTGTTGTTCAGGAGCGGCTTGACAAGAGGAATATGACATTTGAAGTCCATGTCCAGGATCCGTCTGTGTGTGGTGGCTCTTGATGCCCTGACTCCAGCCTTGGTCCACTCCTTGTGAAAGTCCCCAACACTTTTGAATGGCCTTTTCCTGACAATCCTCTCCAGGCTGCAGTCATCCCTGCTGCTTGTGCACCTTTTTCTTCCACACTTTTCCCTTCTGCATAACTTTGTATTAATGTGCTTTGATACAGCACTTTGGGAACATCCAACTTCTTTTGCAATTACCTTTTGAGGCTTTCCCTCCTTATGGAGGGTGTCAATGATGGTTTTCTGCACAACTGCCAGGTCAGCAGTCTTTCCCATGATTGTGATTCCTACTGAACCAGACTGAGAGACCATTTAAAAGCTCAGGAACCCTTTGCAGATGTACTGGCTTAATTAGCTGATTAGAGTGGGACACTTTGAGCCTAGAATATTGAACCTTTTCCCAATATTCTAACTTTCTGAGATTGTGGATTTGGGTTTTCATGAGCTGTAAGCCATAATCATCTCAATTATGACAAATCACAGCTTGAACTATCTTGCTTTGCATGTAATGAGTCTATCTCATATATTAGGTTCACCTTTTAAGTTGCATTACTGAAATAAATGAACTTTTGCACGATATTCTAATTTTTCGAGTTTCACCTGTACTTCATCAATTTTGGTTTAAAAGAAAGGATTAATTGTTCCATGGTGCATATTTGCATTACAGATGATATTTTAATTTCAAATGATCTATACATCTTAATGCTCATTCAAAATTTCCATTTATTAGTTACAAGCAACAAGTGTCACTTGCAGTTCCTTAGTATATCTTCAAATTGTCTCTAGATGGCATTCCTATTATCTCAATTTATATTGCTAACAGTTACAAATGACAGTAGCTACCAAATCACTGATTGCACAATGGGAAACTGATACTTTGTTTTAATAAAGATGACCAGAAAATAGAGGCAGATTACTACACTGACCATTAATTTAATAAAATGTAAATAAAGAACTTTTTTCTTCCTGATGTCTCTTTTCTGTTATTAAATAGTTCACTTCAGATAAGAGAGAAAATATATTTGCTAATATTGATATCATTGGTAGATTGAAAATTCCAAGATATGCATTTTCTCCTGTAGCAGTTTTTTACATTAATGTATATATGTATTTTTGTTGTTTTTCTTTTAGGCTGTACTATGGCGGTACAAGTTTTCCCAGCTTAAAGGGTCTTCAGATGATGGCAAGAGCAAAATTAAATTTTTATTTCAAAATCCCGATACTAAGCAGATTGAAGCAAAGGTAAAGAGAAGAACAAAATTCCTTTCCTATTATCAAATTATTGATAACTAAATAACTAAATAACAGGATGTACATATCGTCACCATTTTCTAACCAATTTGCCTGAGTCCAGAACATAGACAGAGCATTCTGTAATGAGTTCAGAACTGGCAATATAATTTAAGAGAAGAAAAACCAGCTTGTGTACTGATTAAAGCATCAGGTGGGCCATGAGTTCTATTCCTATATTCAGCCTGAAGCCAGCTGGGTGGGCAGGCACTCTCTGTGTCAGCCCTAGGAATGAGGCAAGGGCAATCACTTTCACAAAATGTTTCCAAGAAAACTGCAGGATTTGATCATACTGTCACTGGAAGTGAAAGTTAACTCAAAGGTGTGTGTGCGTGTGTGTGCATGTGCACATGCACACACAAAGTAGGAGTAGCAAACAAAAAAAAGTAGAAAAAAGAAAAATCATTTCTCTTTTAAAATATCAGGACTGATATGGGCCAATTATGGTACGTTCATTGTGTTATCACATCATATAGGCAGTAACTTCTGCTGCTGAAAAGTGGGAGATTGGAGGCTTGGAGGAAGAATCCGATAAATTTTATTATTTCCTAATTTTCCCTATTCATTAGAAATACATTGGATAAAATTTCCATTTCAAAAAAAATTATCCTGTTTTGATGTCTAACTACCAAAATAGGGGTATGCTTGAGGAATAGCCTGGCTAAGAAATGGGTAAAAGGGCTCTTTATATACAATATTCTGATATTTTGTTCTTCTGATACACAAAGTCTTGAACACACAGATTTTAAAATTTGTTTCAACTTTACCATCAGAATTTTTCTGAGTTTCTGCAGATTGATAAAAAATAAAATACAAAAGTATGGAAACTGACATTTATTTTAGATTATTGAAAAGAGCAAACTGCAAAGATCGTATCCATCACATAGTTTCTTTTTATTTAACTATCTTTTCCCAATTATTTGGAAATGTAAAATAATTATAATTGTACATTTATATATATAATTATAAATTTATATATTATAAAATCTAGATGTAAAGAAAGTAATTTTGTAGTAAGACAAAAATGTTTAGTTTCACAATGAATAACTGGGTGTATTATGAGTATATTTGATTTTCCTAAGCCTTTGTGTTTGTGTCTTTGCACAAACTTGGTGCTTTTACTACAATATATGATAAATAAATTTGTCTCTCATACCTGACCATTTTGCTTTCACTTTCAGGAATTGGAATTTTCAAATTTATTTGCAGTTCTGCATTGCATCCACTCATTCTTTGCAGCTAAAGTGGCATGTTTGGATCCGCTCTATGTTGGCAGTCAAGCCACAACTGCCACTACTTCTGCTTCTGTTGCTGCTTCTTCTTCTTCTGCTACTACTACTGCCACATCATCTGGCAGCTGCAAATTAAAACATATGACTTGATAACTCCCAGTCTTGTACTTGTATCCTTCCACAAGTATGTAAGACTGCTGTATAAATATTTATCAGCTTATTCCTTGGAGAACAGCAAGCATTAGAACTGAGTCAAGACATGTGGCACCTTTCTGTGGAACATGGTCATATGGGATCATAAATTAAATCTCAATTTGACAAAGCAGCAGTACACACTGAAGTTGAAAATCCCATTGTGGAACAATATCTTTTTACTATAATTTGATTGTGCTTTGACAGCATTCAAAGAAAAAGAAACAAAAATAACTGATACATCACCATGCTTAAGCATTTAATACAATTTTCAAATCTCAATAATAATACAGCGTATCATTTCTTTGTTTCCAAATGTTTTTTTATATGACAATTTACTCAACTCTGTATTTGAAGTAAAATTCTCTTGATAGACTATATATGAAAGAATGACAAGCAAAAGGCATAGAGCGTGTAAGACCAATGAAAAGTGATAACTCCTTAAAAAAGAAAAAGAAAGCACCTTAAATATCATTGCAATTTTGTGTAATTTGGTCAATTTTATTTTGCTTTCAAGCCATTATTGTAATGATCAATGTATAGCCATATTAGTCCAACAGTTTTAAAATTAAATATAAATATATTGAAGCCATTCACAATTGAAACCTACAATATAAGCCAGTTAGACTTTGTATTCAGAGAGAGCAGAAAAGGGCTTATGGGGGGATAGGAGGAATTTAAATAATTGTGTGTTCCTCTTACACAGTTGTTTCATAAAAACAAAATGTTGGAATATTTGTAACATTTGTCAGAGTGCCCCAATATACTTTATTTTTGTCTACATAAAATGTTGGATTACAAACGATTGAATGGAGCGGGGGTATCATTTTTTGTTTTTCCCTGGATTTATAATGGTTAGACTTTTCTTCTTCTTTCTGGTTTCATTTTAAGTGTTTCCTATTGCCTCTTTTTAATTATCACAACTGGAAGAGCTCAGGGCTAACAGTTTGCAAATCCTGCTGTATGGGAATTCTTTTCCTGCTATAGCAAGTTATTGTCCCCTGCCATTCAATCTAAAAAATATGAGCATTTATAACATCTACATTTTCTCAAACTTAACATTTTATTCTGGAGTAGAATATTGAAACTGAAGTATTAAAATGAAACAGTAGTGACTTAAAATTCTTAGCTTTAAATCAAGATTGCTTTGACCTGGCAACTCTTAATGGACAAGGACGGCAGCTTCCAGGTGCAGGTGTCCATTCTAAGACACACTGACATCACATGTATCATTGTCCCAATGATATTGGTTATACTGATGCAAATTACATAATACATGTCACTTGCATAACAACATCCTAAAACTTGTGCTGTCTCTTGCCTTCCTGTGTGTACACCTGCTTTCAACAGCATTCTTCATAAAAATTCCAAAAGTTTCTATCTCAGTATATTTGGGTTCATTAGTTTTTGGAAGGTTGCCTTAAATTCACAAAGTATTGTATTTCCAGATACAGATTTGATTTATTGGTGAAATCTAGTATTCAGAATGGTTTTAATATTACTTAATTAGAAGATAATGTTACATTATGCTTCCTGTTATTACATTTTATAAAGAAATTTCTTACAATCTTCCAGATTTTGTTCTTAATTCCCAAACACACTGATTTACTCTTGTACAAAGTTTAATTATAAACTCTTGTACAAAGTTTAATTTTTAAATGCAATTTTCATATTGTCTATCAAAAAGCAACTAAGAAATAAGTCCCTTATTCTTATAAGGGACTTATTTACATTTTTGTAGCTTAACTGACAATTATTAAAAATGACCCTACAATAAACCAGTTTTTTAAAAAAAATTCTCATAGTAGTTAGGAAAAGAATTGAGTTCTAAAAGTTCTAAAAAAAAAAACCTAAGATGGAATTCTTATCATTCTAATCCTAAACATATAAAAATCCCTTTCTAGATGTCTTCTTTAATAATTATCATCTTCAACTATAATATTTATAGATTGATTTTAATATACTCCTTATATGTGAAATATCAAGGGTTTTGAAAAGCAAATAAGAACACTTTTTGCTCATAATGTAAGGACTGGGTAGAACCTTCAAAACAGATGTTTAATAACTCATGGTAGGAAAAAGCATGGCCAAGTGGCTGTTCATACATTCAGAGGTAGCTGAGAGGAGCTTAGGGAGCAGCTATGAAAAAAGAAACATGACTGCTTTTGTGTGTGTGTGTGTGTGTGTGTGTGTGTGTGTAGAAGAGAGGAGAGAGAGATCCTCCTTCAACTCTCATATTTGAAAGTGCTTACAGTATTTCAACATATTTGCATAATCTGAGTAAGAAGAGAGTTCCTGTCTGACAATAAAGCGATCGTCCTAAATGCATTAGAAGAGCCAGCCACTGTGATATAACATTTTCTGTGTACTTTGTGCACACACACAAAATAACTAAAAGGAGGTATTTAAATTATTGAGGTGAAATTGTAAATTTTGAACTATTATATGAGTCAATAACCTGCTAAGGTTCCAACGAACAATTATGCTTTTCTTTCCATTAAATAAGCTTAGTTTTTCACTGGACATCATCATGCATGAATTAAGGGTGCATAAACAAGATTTAAATCAGTGTAACCAAATTTTATGTACAATTCTCTATTGCCATTAATCAAAAAATGCACAGGAATAACTTGGTTCTCTCTAGAGCATTCTAAATTTTGTATTATTTTATTTTCCACCAAAGTTGGTTCATCTCTACTTCTTTTGCCCCATCATGATTTACTACAAAAAAATGGGATGTGATTTTCCACAATCTGTGTGCCAACTTCTGTACAAAGCCACAGTAGTTATTTAGATTAATACACATATTTAGTATGCATGGACAAAAACAGTTTAAATGTGTTCACTTTACAAAATCAGCTAACTAGAAAATTGCCTTTCTGAATTTTGATCAAATGTAAAAACATAGCACAAACATATTATAATGTAAAATAGTAGCCTATTTTTTAAAAAGACTTATTCTATTTCAGTAACCTATAGTCTGATTATTTCTAGCTATCATTAACTTAATTTGAAAGAAAGAAATATATTTTAACTCCTAATGTCATCAACATTTCATATTATAGCTATACTATATCTTGATTTGAAATTTATAGCAGTAAGTTAGAGGGGGCCTGATACCCCATGCCACCCCATTTTCAAAGAAAAGAAAACAATTTTCTTTTGTGTTTCAGTTTTCATTGTATAATAGAGATAGCAAATGAAATTGGTACACTAAAAGAAAATAATGTTACTTGCAAAATGACACTTATCTGCCTGCTTTTCAAAAATTGGGAAGATTATTTAGTAATAAACTTCCTATTCTGCCTGAAATATATAAAAACAGGACAAAATGTTTGAAGAAAATACGTTAATGTACAAAGTTTAAAGATTGATAGAGTTATTGGTATTACCTAAACAAAATAATATATGTTATAATCAGGAATCTGTATCATGGTTCGTGTATATGCTGTATATTAGAATACAAATTCTGTGAAATTGGAATATTATAACATTTTGTTAGGATGTTACTTAGCAATGTAACGTGATATATCAAAATACTTTCCTTGTACATGTATCATATTGGCACAAGGAGAGTTGGCCTATGATATGGGAAAACAAAGCCAAGATTCATTAGTGTCAACTATTTGATGTGAAAGCAGCCATTTGTAGGAAGTTTATCATAGCATTTACTGAAATTATCCCATATTGTTTACAGTTACTAATTCATAATAGCGTCTGACAGAATGACCCATTAGTCATTGGATTTGTCCATTTTTTGAATTGTCTAAATCAAGGAATCAATATGTTGATTCATTATATAAATTCACAACCACTATCTTTGGGGGAAAACAATCTAAATATTTATAACTGGAATAAATAAATATACTGACTTTAACAGAACCAGTGAAAAGTCAAGTATATGTGTAAAGCATGATTACATACAAAACAGCTAGATTTATTATTCAACTTGTAATTCATGTAACAAAGAATATTCATTAATGGAATTATCTTGATTGTGCCTTAAAAAAATTATTGACATTCTGCACAATTATAGTATAATTACAATATATTCTTATAGTTGTGACCAGTATACCTGGTCATATGTCCCAAACTGGCTGCTATGAAATTATGTTAAAAGCCATAAAACAACATGACATTCAAATAGATCGATTTGAATTACATACCCAATTAGAATTAAGGGATTAATTATCTAGTCATACTTCATTTATTTAATGATTATATAATTTATTAATTGCTTGAAAAATGTATCATTTAAAATGAATATTTGAAGTCCACACATTTTAAAATAATCGAGGTTGAGAAACACTATTCTAAAGATCCTATACAAAGTAGAGAGGAAGTATCTATGGTGTTCAGTAGAGTCTCACGCCCTCTGAGGTTGCTCCTGGGTGAAAAAGCAAGAGACAAAAAAGCCATAAAAAATGTGAAGACTCTGGAACCCAGTAATAGAATAATAGAAACAGAAAAGGATAGCTTAAGCTTGCAATATGAGTTATTTTGAAAAGAGCATTTACATTTAAACGAAATGTCACCTTTCTATTTTTAAAGCCACAGCATAGAGCAAATATTGTTCATTTTAATATGAAGATTTCAGATTCATTGTTTCAATAGGCACTTTTAAACTATAACTTTTCTTGAAATGTTCAGAACTCCAGATATTGAGGAGGATGCATAGGTTTCATAGTATAGGCAGCATTATTTGACAAACAATTGCAGTGGTGGGATTCAAATTTTTTTCCTACCAGTTCTGTGGGTGTGGCTTGGTGAGTGCGGCAGGGGAAGGATACTGTAAAATCTCCAGTCAGAGGTAGCATTTGCTGGTTCTCCGAACTACTCAAAATTTCTGCTACCAGTTCTCCAGAACTGATCAGAACCTGCTGAATACCACCTCTGGAGTGGTGATATTAGGACACTGTGACTTCAGTCACTCCATAAGCACAAAGTCACCTAAGGAA